AAACTTTTGGACATTCACTGGTTTGTGTTGGAACATTTGAATGACTGGGAGCTGCAGTAAAAACACCAAGGTGTTCCCTCAAGTCGACTTCCCCGATCAGAGTTTGTGTGGTGGCCGAGTTAACGTGATTATTCTTTACAGTTTCACCAGGAAAAATAAACAACCATGCCAGCACAGACAGGACAAGTACGATTGGGAAATAGTACTTGCTTTTGCGCAAAACCTTGCTGACAATTGAACAGAAACCCATAATTATCTAAAGTTGCTCATGTGACAATAGTGGAGGTGAAGGCTTCTGTAGTTTAGGGATTTTATTCCAAGCAGGTTTTTCTGGCAAAAAGACAGAGAGCCACAGAGTCACTGATGAGTCGTCCCATGGTGGCGAAACATGCCGGCTCACTTCAGAATTAACTCTGGAACTTAGAAATCCATTCTCCGGTTATGAAGCCAAAAAGGTCTGCCACCTGTAAACAAAGTCAGAGAGTTAGTCGAGATAAATGTCCAGCATAAAACAAGTCTAACTACATAATCAACATGTGCTTTCATAACTCATCCTTATCTGCTTGTTTTACAAGTTTCTGGATTGAATTACCTTATCTGCTCATTTTCAAACTGAAGGAAATGCTGTTGACATTGCAGAGGTCTGCTATTGTAAAACCAGGTGTACCGAAGGAGGAAAGCAAGCAGGGCAGCAAGCCGTGAAGACAAGAACCAGGAAACACCTTTTAATGGATGATGGAAATTACTGTAGTCAGGCTCCCTGTTTACTAAAGGAGAACTGCTGTTTTACTGGAAGCCAGGGACTGGGTGGAAAGGGACCCTCAAACAAACAAGCGACCAGTTCTTACATTTTTGCAAAGGTTTGCCCAGGGTGGTGTTACAGTTCACCTCCACCCTACATGTGCAACTTTCTGATAACATAAATGGTGTATAAGAGGATCATGTAGCCACTAAACTAACAACATCAACTATAGAATTACAAAACCTGAAAACAGCTCTTTAAAAAAATATATTCTAAAATTATAAAAAGTTAACACTTAAATAAACTACCCATGATTTTATCAATACTTAATTTCACACCTGGTCACAATGAATGAATGTTATCTTCAGCTGACACTAACCTTTCCATGGCAAAGTTCACAAAACCTAACAAAAAAGATGGAAAACCACTGTAAGCTAGGGCTAATTCGATGTTTACACACAATTGGGACCAAATACACACCGCATTTATGCCCTTGTAGAAAAATAGACATCAATATTAAGTCACGGTTGTTGTTACTATAAAGAAAACGTCATTAAGACGAACCTTCACCTGCAGCTCATCTCCGGCATCTTTCGTGGACAAGCTAACGTTGATCGCGTAACCCAAACAAAAGTATTTATTTGTGTCGATATGAGAAGCAAAACGCTGATTTTACTTTAACAAAACCGTCTTTTTCGCCCTTTGATGTTACGGTAGCATTGATCAGATGTACCTGGGAGTTGCTAGCTAACGAATAAGGCGGATGTTACGACTAAATCACAATAAAGTGCTTTAAAAGTTACGATTTTAGCCCAACAAGGACCACACATAAAGATGTTCAAACACACGTTAACATTTAGATGTAGAAAACTAAGCATTTTACCAGAAAAACTAATGTAATGCCACTAGTTTGAATGTGACATCTTACCTCCACACACTTTAACCTCGCGAATCAGGAGCAAATTAACGTAAACGCACCAACTTCCGGTACGGAGTTTCACATTAAAATCTTTTTTTTATGTTATTTAAATTTTTATCTCTGAAAATGGCAGATTTATGGAAGCCAATTCCCACCTCTCAGATAAAAAAATACTTATCTCATAATTATGACTTGGTATGGGATTACTATTTCTCTTATAATTATGAGATAATTGAAATTTGTTTTATCTGAGTGGTGGGAATTCCTTCTAAGTAAAACATTGTCATAACGTATAATTAACACATTTTAATGTAAGAAACCTAAAGATTTGATTAAATCACATCATCACATCATTAAATCACGCATCACAAGCAAATCAAATTGATTTGCTTGTGATGCATGTTTCCAACTGAAGAGCAAAAACTATTAGTCCAAAGATACAATCAACACATTCACTAAAAAGAAGAGGCAACAAACAGCCGTGACGTAGAGGTTCATATGGATCATACAGCGTTGTGCTGCTTTTATTGTGAAGGATATGTTCACAAATTATTTAATTGACTTTCCGTTACGGGCTTTTCAAAATAAATCAAAGATTATTTTGAAATTGTAGAGTTAAAATTTGGAAAGAAATTGAGAAAAGAGAAAAGAGTGAGAAATAAACGAATATTGGATTTTCTTAATAATCTGAAATAAACTAGTGGAGTTTATGTTAAAGCTTTGATGATCAGCAAGGATTTGAAATTAATAAATTGAAGTTAATTTGTATTTGTGGAAAACAGCATTGACAGTGTATCAAGCTGTACATAAACTTTTTTTTCTGTCATAAATTTGATATAGGGTTTGGACCTTTTAACATGAGGTTTAATGTGCCTGTTGAGTCTGCGCATATAAGAGCTTAAATAATGTTAAAGTTTTTTTAAATGTTTTTCTAATCATAGCTCATACTTTTATTTTACAGTGCACAGACGAAACATGAATGAATGATTATGTGAGAAATGTACTTCAAGGAATCTGTCAAAGCTCTCTCAATATTTCAAAACAAAAGCTTTACCAGATGTTCCCAGCATGCATCAAGGTTATATTTTTCTCAAGCCAGTCTGGAGATCAGACACCATGCTGATCCATCTGCTGGGTTTAAATTTTTGGCCCTCTGGATAAAGGTTGTCTTATCCTGAGGAGGTGGCTGACCAGCTGTTCCTCAGCCTGCTGCAGGTCAGTCGTGATCCTGCATACATCTGAGTAAAATGCCCACATGTTAAACTATGTGGGAGGTTCTGAATCAGTCAGACACCCTTTTACCTACTTTAGAGTCACCTTTAATGCTCTTTGCTCCGATGACAGCTTTGTTTTCGTTAGAAAGACCAACAAACAAAAAACATTTTACTAAATAATTTTTATGGATTGATGTCATCAGCATTCATGAGGCTGATTTGTTTTATTAATCCTGGACTATTAAGGCTGAGACTCACTCATATGAGAAGAATATGGAGGCGATTTTAGGAATATTTACCTATTTGTACACTATTTCAGGTTTAAATAAACATAAACATCTCACCCAGGATTACACGCTGGATTCGTCCTGGGTATCTCAAGGCTATGGATGTTGTAGGGCTGTCATGGTTGACACGTCTCTACAACATTGCGTGGTCATCGAGGGCAGTTCCTAGGGAGTGGCAGACCGGGGTGGTGGTCCCCATCTTTAAGAAGGGTGACCTGAGGGTGTGTTCCAACTATAGGGGGATCACACTCCTCAGCCTCCCTGGAAAGGTCTACGCCAAGGTACTGGAGAGGAGGGTCCGATCGATAGTTGAATCTCAGATAGAGGAGGAGCAATGTGGTTTTCGTCCTGGCCGTGGAACTGTGGACCAGCTCTATACCCTTGCAAGGGTGATGGAGGGGGCATGGGAGTTTGCCCAACCAATCCACATGTGTTTTGTGGATTTGGAGAAGGCTTATGACCGTGTCCCCAGGGGCACCCTGTGGGGGACGCTCCAGGAGTATGGGGTGGGTGGCTTTCTGTTAAGGGCCATTCAGTCCCTTTACCAGAGGAGCGTGAGTTTGGTCCGCATAGCCGGTAGTAAGTCGGACCTGTTCCCAGTGAGGGTTGGACTCCGCCAGGGCTGCCCTTTGTCACCGGTTCTGTTCATCACTTTTATGGACAGAATTTCTAGACGCAGCCGTGGTGTGGAGTGTGTCGAGTTTGGTGGCAGGAGAATCTCGTCTCTGCTTTTTGCGGATGATGTGGTCCTCCTAGCTTCATCCAGCTCTGACCTTCAGCTCTTGCTGGGTAGGTTCGCGGCCGAATGTGAAGCGGCTGGGATGAGGATCAGCACCTCCAAATCTGAGACCATGGTTCTCGACCGGAAAAGGGTGGCTTGCCACCTCCGGGTCGGGGGAGAGGTCCTACCTCAAGTGGAGGAGTTTAAGTATCTCGGGGTCTTGTTCACGAGTGAGGGTAGGAGGGATCGGGAGATCGACAGGCGGATTGGTTCGGCGTCTGCAGTGATGCGGACGCTGAGCCGATCTGTCGTGGGGAAGAGGGAGCTGAGCCAGAAAGCCAGGCTCTCGATTTACCGGTCGATCTACGTCCCAATCCTCACCTATGGTCATGAGCTTTGGGTAATGACCGAAAGAACGAGATCGCGGATACAAGCGGCCGAAATGAGTTTCCTCCGTAGGGTGGCCGGGCTCAGCCTTAGAGATAGGGTGAGGAGCTCGGACATTCGGGAGGGACTCGGAGTAGAACCGCTGCTCCTCCGGATCGAAAGGAGCCAGTTGAGGTGGTTTGGGCATCTGGTCAGGATGCCTCCTGGACGCCTCCCCGGGGAGGTGTTTCGGGCATGTCCTGCCGGCAGAAGGCCCCCGGGTCGACCCAGGACACGTTGGAGAGGTTACATCTCCAATCTGGTCCGGGAACGCCTTGGGGTCCTGCCGGAGGAGCTGGTGGACAAGGCCGGGGAGAGGACGGCCTGGAGCTCCCTAGTTGGGATGCTGCCCCCGCGACCCGGACCCGGATAAGCGGAGGAAGACGAGACGAGAGACGAGACGATAAACATCTCAATCAAATTTTTAAAATAAAAGAAGTTGTGCATATATAACCTATTTCAGACCCTTGAAAGATGTAATAAATGTGTTCAGTTTTCTTTAGATGAATTCATCTGAATGAATGTCTATTTTTAAGTCATTGTCCTATTGGACCCTCAAACCCTCCACTGACCTTTTGCTTCAGTTCTCTGACATTATTCAGCAGAATATGCGAGAGAAAAAAATGCACTGATATTCTCCTCATTGATGGTGAACTTCACAGACTTCCTGACAGCAAGTTCGGATTAGGAGTTATGTTTCCCTGTTGATGCACTCTCAATCGAGTCAAGTGTTTGTCTGAAGGCTGCATTCAAGGTTTGGTTTTGATAGGCTTACTTCAGCGGCTCACAAACACACTTACTGCTTTCTAAATGGAGCATACTGCTTGCCTGTTTCATCGTGTGTAGCTGGGTTTGTTCTTTCCCCTCAGGAAAGGGTTCATTTTCACAGTTGACAATCTAAACTCAACTCTTTCTTCTTGTAACCCATACACACTGGGACAGCGTGATTTACTGAAACAATGACATTTGCATGTGAGAGTCACCTTCCGTTTTATTGTCAGGTACTTGTGAAAAGCAGGCAGGTAGGCAGTTAAATCTCCTCGGAAGAGTTGCACCAAATCAGCCCCATGGATCCCAGTAAGAATCTTTATTGTGTTTTCAGATATTCAGGTTTTTACTGGGAGCCTCTAGTGACAAGAAAAGGAAATGAAATCAAAAGTGTGACAAGCTTTGCATGATACTTGTCACCAGTGTTTTAAGTCTTATTGTTGCATTTATAGAATATCTTGCATTGTGCACTTTATGTTCTGACATCAAAGTGTGTTTTCATTGGTGTGTGCAAGGAGCCAAACTCCATCCCAAAAAACAATCAATAAACTTAAAGATCCAATAAAGGACTTTTATTTGTACAAAACAAGTAACTTTCAGTTGAGAATTAATTCACTGGACAGGTTTTGGCTTAAAAATAAAAATAATAAAATTCACCTGCAGAACAAATCGGACTGAGATTTCTTCTGCATTAGATGAAATTATTATTTGGCCAAAGTATAAAGAATCTTAAAAAAAAGTAATACAAATTCTCAAAAAAACTTTTTAAAAATACGTCTTTTTGTTGACTGATAAATACGGAATATAGAAGTTGAGCGAGGCAGATTAAAAATGAAGTTGTCTGGTAGGATGTTGATTGTGTCTTTTCACTGATGCCTTGCGCTAACCTGGCCAGCCATGCCAATGCTTCCTTACAGGGGGCCTAAGTCACGACCATCTACCTCCGGACCACGGGTCTCCGGAAGAACGAAGAAATGAATTTAAGTAACGGGGCTAAAAATGCAATTTTCTAATTCCGCTTGTCTTGTGCCTTGGATTTCTCATTTGATGTCCGTGAATTTTAAAGCTTTTTGATACTAAGAACGCTCTTATTTTCGAACGGGGAAACGCTATTTTAGGTTTTGTGTGGAGATAAGTCCAGGACTACAGATGCACTTCACAAAAGTGACGTCATCGAACCAGACACGGAGAAAACTGAGAGAAAATGGCTGTAAGTTCAGCAAACTTCCCACAGGAGAAAAGAACCACCATAAATCTGGCCATGTGGTAAGTAGCAGCTACGTTAGGAGAGAGGAGATTATGTGGTGACGTCACATATGCGACGTGCCGATTTCTGGTGTGTAGTCATGCTAATTACAAACATTTACAAGCTGATAAATCTCAAACTACGTGACAGGTGTGGTCGAAACACCCATCATTACTTTTCATTTAAATTGCAGTACAACATATGTGCGATCCAGGGCGTAAGGCAAGGCGGGTTAGAAAATAACGTTTTTTGCTCCATTGACTTGCATTCATTTTTTCGTTCTTCCGGGGACCCATGATCCGACCAGAAAGGAAGGAGACTTAGGCTCCCTATCGGAAGCAAAGGGCCTGATAATGCTGCCATTTAAATAACCCCACCCCCTGAGGATTCTAACCGAGCCAGTCAGCACTGAGCAGCATACGTCACACACAGCAACTCTCAGTTCCTCCTAAACAACAAAGATGACATCTGAAGCAGAGTTCACTGCGGCTCTTTCCTCTGTTCTAAACGACTTGGACATGTCTTTAAAACCACAACAAGAAGAAGCGCTAAAAGCATTTCTTCTAAAGAAAGATGTTTGTGCCAGAAGCCAGACGCCATCTTTGACTACAGCTAAAACACTACAGTTGTCATTTCTGCCTTTTATCTGATAGGTTATTTCTGAGCTGGCTAGTCCCGCCCCTTGTGGTGCTCTCTGCCTATCCAGACTCATCTTCTGTGTGGAATAGACAGAGGGCGAGTCTGGCGGGCCTGGCTAGTCTTCCAAGTTTTTAGACTTTGTGGATCAGATTTGAGTTCCTCCACAATCCTGTCTACTGCAATCTAAAGAACGGAAACAGCATTTCTTTGCTGTACTTTTTTTTTTTTTTTTACATTAGAGAACTTCGTCTTGACTCGTCGAAGCTCAAAGACAGAGTAACGGTTCCACTTCCAAAGCTCACCCTTGGCCTATGCCTTTCTGAAGGCAGGTCGCAGTCATTGCCGTTGGTCTTGAGGCTGATTGATGAGGACGGAGTCGAGCCTGAAGACCCACCAAGGCTGTTAGACTTTTTCCTGGAAATCGTGCTGTGTTTTAGCGTAGCCTTTGCTGCCACTTTGAAGGCGTGGGCTGCGGTGCTGCATCGAACCTCCTCAATTGTGTTTCTGGATGGCTTGAAGAGGATGATGTAGACTTTGTTAAAGAAAATGCATGCTAGCATTCCAAAGCTGGACGCCAGAATAGCTATGACCTCAACCGCTGAAACAAACTTGCCATAGGTGCTGAAGTAGGCAGGGATAAACGAGATCCAAACAATAAAGAATATCAGCATGCTGAAAGTGATGAACTTGGCTTCGTTGAAGTTCTCAGGAAGTTTCCGGGACTTGAATGCAAAGAAGAAGCAAATAGCTGCCAGTAGACATGTATAGCCAATGATAAAGCCTAGAGCCATCACAGAGCCTTCGTTGCAAGTGATGAAAATGATCTCATCAATGTTGTGATTCCTGTAGCTAGAAGGAGGGGCATTGTAAAGCCACACCACACATATCATAACTTGAACAAATGTGAACAGAAACACCAGGAGGAACTGTAGATTCAACCCCCACCATTTACGGTGGAGACTTGTTGGAATTTTGGCCTCGAAAACCAAAAGCACTCTGTTGGTTTTAACAAGAATGCAGGAGATGCAGAGAACAAAGCTGATACCAAAGGCAGGTTGGCGTACGCGACATGTCCAGTCCTGCGGCTCTCCAATGAAAATTAGTGAGCTTGAGAAGCAGCAGATGAGGGAGAACAAGAGGACGTAGGACAATTCTCGGTTTGTGGCCTTCACTATAGGAGTGTTGCGAAATTTGACAAAGACTCCCATCACAAAGGTTGTTAGGACAACACCTAGGACAGCACATATGGTCAAAGCTATTCCAAACGGTTCAGCCCAAGAGAGAAACTCGATTTCTTTCAGGAAGCAGAATGTGTGGTTCCCATTTGACCAGGAGTTGTTTGAACATTTTGTGCAAACGCTGGCATCTGTGTAAATCCAAAAAACACAATAATCAGTATTACAACAGCAACAGTAGAGTTTTTCCATGTAGGATTGTCTATACCTTTATGGTTACTGTACTCTCCATCTGAACACTCAGTGCATTCAAAGCAACATGTGGGCATGCTGTCGATGATCCCCTTTCTTGTTCCAGGATCACATTCCTCACTGCAATTAGAAAACGGCACCTGCAGGGTGTAAAACAAACATATTATATGAGAAAAGTAGTAACGTACAAACAGCACCAACAAGAGTTCATGTTTCTGCAATGGCTTATATATATATATATATATATATATATATATATATATATATATATATATATATATATATATATATATATATATATTCTGGGAGTGAGACCCCTTCTGCGTGGACTTCCCTTTCTTTGTCACCATCTGACCACACTCCTCAAGATCGAACGGCTTTTTTCAGGTTTATTCTTTCAGCGCTCATAATGGTGTTTCATGCTACTTTTGCAACATGAATATTTTAGAAGAATTATTTTTCCCAATTGTATGTTTTGGAATTGCTGTAGCACAAACAATAGATAAAAAATGACTTTGTTGCAAATGCTAAGTTTTAGGAGTAGTATATAACAGCCTTTAACCAGTAAATGTTTTTTCTCTTATAAAAGGTGGAATTTGTAAGAAATGACTTCCTGTGGTCAAATGTGGTTACTGCAGTCTTTATTTTAAGCAAAATTATTGCTTTCTCGCTCCTGTTCTGTGAGTTTCGTCGCTATTGCCAGTTACAGATCACCACCAGAAGATTATGGATGAGTAGAGAAAGTAGAGTCATACACAGTAAGTTGATGAAAACGTAAATAAATTGTCATATCTGGTAGCACTCTTGGGTATGTCACTTACTACACTTATTACAAAAGTTTGTCTATGCATTACAGGAAGTGCATTTGTTTGCTGTCTTGTTGTTAGCTTGCTGTTGTAGTTATTAACGACTCATTAAAGAAAGTAAAATGCCACTACTGACTCATTATTCACTTCACACGTACATTGAAAAAGTAGCTTGAGGTATTTTTAGAGCTCATTATTTGCTTTTAATTCACTCTTAGTATTGTTAGCTCAACGCTAGCCTCTGTCGTGCTTCACCTAATATTAGAGTAAAACAAAAAGATGCAGTAGCTCCTGTTTACTGGCTTTGGTTCTTTGAACAACTCTGGAGCTTTTTGCCTGCTGGTGTCTAATTTCAAACGCCTGCATTGTTGCATGAGTTCACTGAAGATTCGCCAAACTCAGAGTGTAAACAGTAACTACGTATGTCCCTTTTTGTTTTGTTTTTTTTTTGGAAAGAGAAAAACTGACAACCCCCAGACAGCTGAAAATAAAATCTATTCCAGTATAAATTTTCCTTTCAACATGATTGGACATTAGACTGTTTTGTGACTATTTCACAGTAGAATTCTTACATATTGCACCTTTTAAACAACCTTAAAATCTTGTGTACTTTGCCCAAAGAACTTTTTATCACTCGCTTATCCCATTCAGAGTCAGAAATACCAAGTGAATGTTTTAGGAATGAGGTGAAAAAAAATTTAAACTATTTATACAAGCATATTTTGGCTTGGCTGATATAATAATCTAAAATCAGTTGTCATAAAAGAGTAAAATGTTTGGACTGTTTTTGTCATTTTGCTATTCCTGTGATTTCATTCACATGAGCATGCTTTGACTGACCTCTGAACTGTATCCATTCCAGAGAATCTTTGTCTTGTCAATAAACAGTTTAGCTCCTCTCTTGGCGTGCATTCTGTAGCATCCAACCTCCTCAAAGATCACAGAGCCGTCCTCTGTAGATCTGTGCCAGTTGACGATGGTATAGTTTGCTGTCAGGTCTGCATTTTCCTCAAAGTGCATCTTTTCACCCAAACTGTTAGTGAAGTTCAAATGCCTCAGTTGCTTCAGCACCTATAAAGTAGAATTATCATTTTCAACAAATCAATCATTTAGTTGTTTCAATCATCTGTGCAAAAGCTTACCTGCCATGCTTCAATTTTCTTGATATCTGCACAAGAGTTGTTAGCAAAAAGGCCACGCCCAGGTGTGCAGGTGAGTATGTCCTGCAGGGCCTGAGCAATTGCATAAACTGTTCCATAAACATTATAGGAGATCCGGAGGTGTTTGTAGTCGAGGTACGGGGTCTCAACACTTGTGATGTCTTCCTCACCGGTGCACAGAGGCCTGAAAGTGGTGCTGTCATTCTCGCTTTCTTGGATTCTTGGGCTGCCTTCCAGGTAACAATTAAAGGTTTCTTCCCAAAACTCTCGGACAAACTCATTGTGACTGCTCTTTTTTGGTTGGACTTGCTGTAAAAACTCTCTAAATCCTGGTATCTGCCCTGCCCTTAAAGCAAAGCCAATGGTTCCTGCTACCACATCTAGATATTCTGGTTTGGCAATAAGGGAGGAGCTAGCCCATGCCTCACTGGCGAGCCAGATGCGATCTGTGATGTTTCTCCTTACCATCTCTTTGATCAGGGGCTCAATGTCTGGGCCACTGGCAAAAACAACTATCACTTTAGCTGTGGAGTTCTCAATTCTATCAACCAGAGCTTTAATTTCATGATCCTCAAAGTACTGAGAGATAAGTTCATTCAGGTGGATGCAGATATCTCGCTCTTCCATTTCCTTTTCGAACTTTTCAATTCCAGGACGTCCGTAATCATCATCGGAAGCAACGGCGATGACCCAGTTCCACTGGAAGTACTCGATGATGTCTGCCATGGCGGTGGCCTGGTATTCATCTGTGGGGATGGTTCTCATGAAGGACTTGTACTGATTTTTGTTGCTCAGGAGGCGACTAGAGGAGGCATAGCTGATCTAAAACAGGAAAGATTTCACACATTTGTGTCATCATCCATATGCACATTAAAAAAATAATAAATAACCATTCAGATTTAGTTTTGCACCTGTATTATGATGCTAGTATAAACTTCCTGTCCAAGCACTGACCTGAGGAATATAAAAAAGACCCAGCAGGTTGGCAACTGCTGTGGAGACTGCAGATCCAGCAGCTCCCACTACCGCAATGGTTGATGGGATGTGATCGGTGCAGTTACAGAACTCATCTAAATTCAGGGAGTCGATCTTGTTTTGAGCGACAAAGCTAAGGGTAGCTTCCAAGGCTTTTGACACAGTGTTGCATGTGTCAAATATCCTGTAGCCCAGCGTGATGTTGGGCAGCAACGAGCTGCTGTTGTTGATTTCATCAATCGCAAAAATCATAGCCTGGAGCCAACGAAATCCACGGAAATTAAACCTGAAAAACATCAAACTCAGCATAAAAATTTTTGTGTGTGACATAAATTATAACTAGACACAAAACCATAATGCAGTGTTAAAGGAAAAGGAGCACCCCCTACTGGCTGGTTGCAGTATGAATCTTAAAGGCAATTTTCATGAGATGAAAACATTATTCAGCCTTTTGTAGCTTCAGAACAGAAATAACATTTGTTTACATTTGATTGGAAAACCCTCAAATTTGTGTGACAATAAAGAAAGCAAAACCACCTCTTCCATCCTACTTCTGACACTCACAATTCTCTAAAATGGTACAGCGACATACTTTAGACTCTTAAATCAGAACTCACTGAAGGAATGGTCTACTCAAATCTTACCGAACACACTGTGTGGCTTCTGGCCGAGCTGCCAGGTCTTGATCTTTAGATGAGACACCAAAGTGAATGGGGAAAAGACCTCCGAGTAAAATATCCCCAGTCATTTGGGCTCTCTGATGGGGTCCATAAGTGGAAGTCACATAACTGAACCCCAACATCGACAAGTAACACAGAAGCAGCTTCATCTTTCTTGTGTCTGATTGGATTGTTCCCTGTAGATTCTCAGAAGACGGAGATTCTCAGTTTTCCTTTGTCCGTTCAGTCTTCCCGCTGCACTGATGTGTTTTATTCATGTTTGGAGGACTGGGAAAGCTTCACCTGTCTGAAGAAAGTAGAAACAGGTTAAGGGTGGCATGCATGACGAACTTAAAATGACTTGAAACTATAACGGCCCTATAGAGAGGTGGATTTTGTGAGCGGGCTGATTTTTTGGGACGTGATTGTAATAGAAGTAAACATCTCACACACAGAGAGCATGCCTTTAGAAAATTCTCAGAACTAGAATAGCTGAGAGCAAAGTCACACTCTGTCGAGCTTCCTTCCTGCAGACTCCCTGTCTAATGTCAGAGAACTGCAGTCTCCATAGCAGCGCCGCCAAATCTGGCTAATCCTGCTGGAAAAATGCTGGAGCAGAGCTGTGATAATGAAGTCACAGCCACCCAGAGTTTACAACAGAACAAGAGTGTTTGCAATGGCTCATTTCCCAGGGCAAAAATGTCCTCAAAGTGTAAATTTATCCCAAAAAAAAAAGATATATATATATATCTATATCTATATATAAATATAGATATATATATATATATCATTGTTAACATGTTTTCTTACTTAAAATAGTCTTCTAGCAAAATTAATGTAAAATTTCATCTTTTAAAATAACTAAACTACATGCTACTGTGATTTTGTTCACTACTACAGAAACATTTAAACATTTGTTGGGATTTTACACGTTTTCACCTCCAGTTTCCAAACTAAAACACGACATATAAATCAAAGGAGGGACACGACTTACCGCCTGAAGCTCTGAGTTTTGACTCCACTTGAACCAACCAGTCTGCAGCTCTTAAACATTTAAAACCTTTTTCTAAAACATCCTGAGAGTCTTCAAAAGTGAAGTCTGCTGCTGTCTGAACCGCTCTGCAGATGAATCATTAACAGAGAGAGGGATTGTCCATTTCCTTCAGCTAAAAAAGTCTGTTCACACTTCACCCCTCCTGATCTAAAATAATCACTAATGTGATTGTGAAAGTTACCATCATCTACAACTTAGTTGAGGCTACTTATATGACACAATGTTTAATTCCTTCTTAAAGCAGCAATTCTGAGTTTTGCCCCTTTCAGGAATTAGATCTGATTTTTCTAAATAAATCCATAAAAATAATACTCATACCCTGTTCTGTGGTGTAATACATCAATGTTATTTTTACTAAGCTGGCCCTTTGTCCCATAGAGCCCCATGAAATTTGAACTGAGCACCACTCAGCATTAGCCAATAGCATTAGACATCCACTTACATATACAGGTCCTTCTCAAAAAATTAGCATATTGTGATAAATTTCATTATTGTCTGTAATGTACTGATAAACATTAGACTTTCATATATATTAGATTGATTACACACAACTGAAGTAGTTCAAGCCTTTTATTGTTTCTAATATTGATGATTTCGGCATACAGCTCATGAAAACCCAAAATTTCTATCTAAAAAAAATTAGCATATCATGAAAAGGTTTTCTAAATGAGCTATTAACCTAATCATCTGAATCAACTAATTAACTCTAAACAACTGCAAAAGATTCCTGAAGCTTTAAAAAACTCCCAGCCTGGTTCATTACTCAAAACCGCAATCATGGGTAAGACTGCCAACCTGACTGCTGTCCAGAAGGCCATCATTGACACCCTCAAGCAAGAGGGTAAGACACAGAAAGAAATTTCTGAACGAATAGGCTGTTCCCAGAGAGCTGTATCAAGGCACCTCAGTGGGAAGTCTGTGGGAAGGAAAAAGTGTGGCAGAAAAGAAAACGCTGCACAACGAGAAGAGGTGACCGGACCCTGAGGACGATTGCGGAGAAGGACCGATTCCAGACCTTGGGGGACCTGCAGAAGCAGTGGGCTGAGTCTGGAGTAGGAACATCCAGAGCCACCGTGTGCAGGCGTGTGCAGGAAATGGGCTACAGGTGCCGCATTCCCCAGGTCAAGCCACTTTTGAACTAGAAACAGCAGCAGAAGCGCCTGACCTGGGCTACAGAGAAGCAGCACTGGACTTTTGCTCAGTGGTCCAAAGTACTTTTTTCGGAGGAAAACAAATTTTGCATGTCATTTGGAAATCAAGGTGTCAGAGTCTGGAGGAAGACTGGGCAGAGGGAAATGCCAAAATGCCTGAAGTCCAGTGCCAAGTATGCACAGTCAGTGATGGTCTGGGTGCCATGTCAGCTGCTGGTGTTGGTCCACTGTGTTTTATCAAGGGCAGGGTCAATGCAGCTAGCTATCAGGAGATTTTGGAGCACTTCATGCTTCCGTCTGCTGAAAAGCTTTATGGAGATGAAGATTTCATTTTTCAGCACGTCCTGTCACCTGCTCACAGTGCCAAAACCACTGGTAAATGGTTTCAATTCAAATTCAAAGATACTTTATTAATCCCAGAGGGAAATTAGAGTTTCAGTACACACAATTCTAAGAATTGGTGACCATGGAATTACTGTGCTCAATTGGCCTGCCAACTCTCCTGACCTGAACCCCATAGAGAATCTGTGGGATATTGTGAAGAGAAAGTTGAGAGACGCAAGACCCAACACACTGAATGAGCTTAAGGCCGCTATCGAAGCATCCTGGGCCTCCATAACACCTCAGCAGTGCCACAGGCTGATTGCCTCCATGCCACGCCGCATTGAAGCAGTCATTTCTGCAAAAGGATTCCCGACCAAGTACTGAGTGCATAACTGAACATAATTATTTGAAGGTTGACTTTTTTGTACTAAAAACACTTTTATTTTATTGGTCGGATGAAATATGCTCATTTTTTGAGATAGGAGTTTTGGGTTTTCATGAGCTGTATGCCAAAATCATCAATATTAGAAACAATAAAAAGCTTCAACTACTTCAGTTGTGTGTAATGAATCTAATATATATGAAAGTCTAATGTTTATCAGTACATTACAGACAACAATGAACTTTATCACAATATGCTAATTTTTTGAGAAGGACCTGTAGATGTCAATCCCAGAGTGTGTAAGTACCTAGACTGGTACAGAGTTGGTGACATTTCCCATGGACAAGTAAGACTTTAATGTATGGAAAAAAGCAGAACACAAGAATACAGTGTGTTTTAACTCTGTTTAGTTTACCAGCTAGAGGTGTGTATTTGTTCATAAATGAGAAACATTGCTTCCAGCCGTAATCAAGGAGAGAGAGGGGCTTAATTCAATTCAATTCAAAAATACTTTATTAATCCCAGAGGGAAACTGATTGCTGTAGTAGCTCAGAATAATAATAATAATCAAGTCATCAAAGAGTTATTGTATATTACAATGGCTGTTGGCAGGAAGGATCTCCAGTAGCGGCGAAACTGAAGAAGCCTCTGACTGAAGACACTCTTCCGTTGTTGGAAAGTCTTGTGAAGAGAATGCTCAAGGTTGTCCTTCATTTTCTTGATTCTTTGGAGAATCCTTCTTTGCATTATCTCCTCCAGCAGTTCCGAAAGTGCCGAAACTCTCGCTGAGTCCTTGAAAGGGCTTGGAGTTCCTCCATCTTGTTGGCCAGTGATCTCACATTGCCCATTATGATCGATGGAAGAGATGGTTTGAATTTCCTCTTTCTCTGTCTCCGTTTTGCTCCCGCTCTGCACCCACACTTCTTGCTTTTTAGCTCATGTGGGATTTGTGGCTTCAGTTGAGGTATTATTTCAGCCTTTCCAATGTTAATCAGCTGCTCCCGATTGTAAACCAGCTTGTTGCCATGGTTATGCATCATAACAAATGCTCAAAAAGTAAAAAAAGCTAAAAAATAACTGTAAAAATCCTGCAAGCTTCACAGCACCAGAAACAGAAAAGTAAAATGTCCAAAAAAATACAGTTTTTCTTGAGAAACTAGAAGAAAAAATGTCCAAGAAAAGGCAAAACTTACATATAGTCAACAGAGCTACTCCAACATGCAGCCACCCAGAGCAGCACAGTTACGGAAAAAAAAAATAAAAGGTGCAAATCATTTTTCAGTCTCTAGCTAAAAAACTGAGAAAACAAAACTCTGTTTCTGCTTTAAATACAAAACTGATGTGCCTTTATTTACACATAAATCAATGAATTTGTTCAAATATCTCATGCAAAAAAATAAAATCTTTGATCAGTTTTATTTATCAAAACATACCCTTTTCCTGCATCAGACTTTTATTTGACCTAAAACAAAACATGTTTCCATCACATTGGAGCCCACAAATACACAGAATCTGTTTTCAGTGTCTGCATTTCTGATGGTCTGCAGTCAGCCTTACAGGGAGGCTGTTTTGTTTGTTTGATTGGACTTTAACTGCCTGATGATGGAAACCCCTAGAAGCAATGGACTGTACATCATGTTCCACAAACAACTGGGTGAATTTTTAATGCTCTGATGAGTCAGTCTCCAATCTGTTGCCGAGCAGATGTCCCCTCTAGAAAAATATTTCTCTTTTACAACATGTTGACTCATCTGTGCCCTGATCCAGCTCAGCGTCCGGCAGGCAAAGGCCTACAAAGAGCTGAGATTGAAAGAAACCATCTAGATGCTAAATGACAGATAAAAAAAAATCTGGTAACTTTTGCAAAGATGGGAAATCCTGTCAATAGTTGATGGTGTATGATGAGAAGTTACTCTTTTCTGTACGATTTAACTGTTGATGACATGGTGTGAAATTCTTTTAGCTTAAATTAAAATGAACAATCACTTGTGCAATTACGCTTTGAAGCTTTTCATTGATTATTTCTGGAAAAGTCTTCTAAACTATCGTTAGGCGAGGAGGTTCAGAGCCCTCAGAAGTCACTTGGTATCGTGATGTCTTTTTTCATCTGCTTCCTGGCCTATTTTTGAGAGTCTGCTTCCTTGACTGATGATGCTGTCCTATTTGCTCTGTGTTCACAGCCTGTTGCCAGTAGCTTTCACACATTAGTTGGGGCTCTAAAGTATGCGGTGGTTGGGATTACTCTGTGCTCTGTCCACGAGGTTAAACAAAAGTCTGTGTCCAATAAGAAACAGCACAAATCTGCTAAAATAATTTGTTCTCAATTTCATTTAATCTCTAAATTAATTGGATGGAATTTAAAAACTGTTCTTGTTTCCCACTGTGCATCACCACAGAAATGCTCCTGCACAGTGAAAACAGAAATAAAAAAGTCTGCAGTTAAACTGTCTGATCTTTTTCCTGTAGCTTATTGGGATCTATGCTCCCAATGCTCCGTGTTCTCTTCCCCATGGCTAGGGATGGACTTCTTTTAGACCTCTGAATAAATAAAGTCCTGTTGTTGCCACACTTACTTTAGGGATTGTAGTGGGTAAACACATCTCACAAGTTTGTAGTCCTTGTGTTCTGTAAGTTTATTGTGTTGATTATTTTTTCCATTTTAGAACTGATGCTGCTGGCATAGATTTGTGTAAATAATAATAAAAAAACAGATAAATGTTTTTTTCTTTCCATTGTATCTTCAATATTAGTCACTGATTAAATAGTTTAAGTGTAATTAATTTAATTTCTTATCAAAGAAAAATGTTCAACTTTTAGAAAACTAAAATCTTTGCGGCAATAATAACATTATTATTTGATATGAAGTCGCTGGTTGACAAGATGTCCACAGTGATTGTAGAAAGTGTCCACTGGAACCCTCTCTACTGAAAAAAAACCCAGCATATGTTGGTTCAACATGTGATGCTAATCCTGCATGAGAGATGCTGTTAATTGGATTCTAGACCATCATGCAGACTAGCATCCATCCTGGACCAGACAGCATCCCATGCTGACTAGCGTCGTGAGCTGGACCAGCCAGCATCCAAAACACAACTTATCCTAGTTTTTTTTTTTTCTGCAGGTTTGCCTTATTAGCCATCTGATCCTTTAGGTCAGGGGTGTCAAACTCAAATTCACACTGGGCCGAAACGAAAATCTGGGACGAAGTCACGGGCAAAATATGCTTAAAGTTTAGGTGATTGTTCACATTATTGGTGATTAGTTTGACAGGTTTAAAAAATATTCTGAAATTAATGAGATGAAAAAGTGTTGACAAGTAAAAATAAAATTGTAAAAGAAGCAGGTACTTTCAGACACCTTGTTTTTGTGACATGTTTTAAATGTGTTGGAAAAAATAAAAAATTTTAGCTATGCAAAATGAACATGCTATCTTAAGTTTTTTTCAACCTAACGTCGTGTAACAGGAACTAATAAAATTCACCTGTTCGAGTACGGAGCGTTTATGTTGCGCACAACGTATTAGCCAATCAGAAGACAGCAAATTTGAGTTGTAGCCAATCAGAGACTCGTCAAGCAGGAGAAGCGCATTGTTCAAAAAACGTTACAAGTCATCGGGTAAATTCAGTCAGCTGGAGCTCAGAGAGCAACGGTACTAGATACAGACAGGTTACGCGATTAGCCACAATCTCGACGCTTTATTAGTTTGGTTTATAAATATTTTTACTTTCTAGAAGCGTTTGTTGTTCTAATCACTGGAACCCAGCCGCTAATTCCTACAAGCTTCTGCTGAAAGGTGGGTCATTCTACGGAACATGTTTACTCACGGCCGAATACTTGGGTTTTATAATCCTGACGAACCTAACCACTGTTTCTTCTGTTGTGATTGGTTAGAGTAAATGTACATGTTTTATTGTTAAACCACCACTTATACTTGTGTCTTCTGTCGTGTGCTTCACTTCTCCCATTTGTGTTTCGGCAACAAGAACGATATCAGCCATTGGACCATCCAGTTGTCGGTCTCCCACACTTCCCTGGGTCCTCCATTACTTACTTGTGTATTTAACAAGTGTGATGTGTGCTTTCAGACTAGTGATGGGATTTGTGGCTTTATCATGGGAGCCGTTCATTAGTCGGTCGTTTACGTCAAAGAGCCGTTCAAAAGACTGGCTCCTTTGAACGAAGTGAAGCCAAGAGAGGGGGATCAATAGCACTGTCTTCCTGCAGTGTCTGTGAGGGCGCACGGGGTTGATTAACGTTCCTCCCACAGATATGCATGTAAACACTTGTCTATATACATATCCATGGTTCCTCCTACATCCGTCACAGCAGTGGGTGGGGTTTGAGGGGGTGAGTTTGACCGACTTCCGGGGAGGTTTGTTAAGATGAACGGCTCTCTGCAGGGACTCGGCTCTCATCATTCACTTTGAAAACCCTTTCAAAAGATTCGATTAGTTCGTGAACGTCACATCACTATTTCAGACAGTTTTTAATCAGCATTTTTGTCACTAGGCGCCACTAAAACACACAGATTGGTCCTTAAACATGATAATTCACAACAGAAAATATGAATACAATATAATTATTTAGACAAAACAATACTCTGAAGTGTCAGCTGGTTTTCTGAGTGTTCAAGTGCTTAAGAAATGTATTTTTTGCATGCTTCTATGTGCAGATAGAAATGTGTGCCAGACAAAAAAAAAAACTGTTAGAAATGCTGTTATTGGCACTGGGGAATCAAACTTGTGTGTTTTCCTGTTTGGTTCTACACGAATCACCACATGCCCTTCTGAGCTGCTCTTTCCAGAACTGCGCTGCTCTGGGTGGCTGCATGTTGGAGTAGCTCTGTTGACTATATGCAAGTTTAGCCTTTTCTTGGACATTTTTTCTTCTAGTTTCTCAAGAAAAACAGTATTTATTTATTTTTTTATATTTTACTTTTCTGTTTCTGGTGCTGTGAAGCTTGGAGGATTTTTACTATTTTTTCACTTTTTGAGCATTTGTTATGTGTAACCATGGCAGCTAGCTGGTTTACAATCGGGAGCAGCTGATTAACATTGGAAAGGCTGAAATAATACCTCAACTGAAGCCACAAATCCCAAATGAGCTAAAAAGCAAGAAGCGTGGGTGCAGAGCGGGAGCAAAACGGAGATAGAGGAAATTCAAACCATCTCTTCCATCAATCATAATGGGCAATGTGAGATCACTGGCCAACAAGATGGAGGAACTCCAAGCCCTTTCAAGGACTCACCCAGAGGCCTGTGCAGAGCAGCTCTGTGGGATTCTGCAGCACCTCTTCAACCTCAGCCTGGCCCAGGAGAAGGTTCCAGGCCTGTGGAAGACATCCTGCCTTGTTCCAGTTCCAAAGAAAACTCGCTCATCAGTTAATGACGACTACAGACCGGTTCCCCTGACATCCCACATCATGAAGGTCCTGGAAAGATTCCTGTTGGTCCACCTGAATAAGCAAACTAGGACATATCAGGCCCCGCTGCAGTTTGCTTATCGCCATGAGTTGGAGTTGAAGATGCCATCATCCAGCTGCTTCAACCAATCCACTGTCATCTGGACAAAGCAGGCAGCACTGTGAGCGTCATGTTGTTTGATTTCTCCAGTGCATTTAACACACTCCAGCCTGATGTACTTTGCCAGAAACTCCAGAAGACACAGGTGGGGGCCTCAACTATCACCTGGATCAAAGACTACCTGACAAACAGACCACAGTTTGTGAGGCTGAAGAACTGCACATCAAACCAGGCGATCAGTAACATTGGAGCACCACAGGGGACTGTACTCTCACATTCCTTTTTACCCTGTACACCTCAGACTTCCAGTACAAATCAGAGACCTGTCATCTACAGAAATACTCGGATGACTCTGCAGTTGTCAGGTGTATCAGAGATGGACAGGAAGCTGAGTACAGAGAGCTGGTGGAGCGCTTTGTGGCATGGTGTGGAAACAATCATCTGACCTTGAACATGAACAAAACATAGGAGATGATTTTAGACTTCAGAAGAAACAGGGTGGAGTCAAACACTGTTTCCATCATGGGAGAAGAACTGGAGGTGGTTGAGGAACACAAATACCTTGGAGTTCACCTGGACAACAGACTGGACTGGAGAAAGAACAGCGAAGCCGTTTACAAGAATGGACACAGCAGACTGCACTTCTTGGGGACGCTTGGGTCCTTCAATGTCTGTAGCAAGATGCTCCAGATCTTCTACAAATCTGTTGTTGAGAGTGTAATCTCTTCAGCCATCGTCTGTTGGGGTAGCAGCATCAGAAGCAGGGACCTGAAAATGCTCAACAGCCTAATAACAAAGGCTGGTTCTGTTCTGGGGACGACTGTGGAACCGCTGGAGGAGATAATGCAAGGAAGGATTCTCCAGAGAATCAAGAAAATGATGGACAACCCTGAGCATTCTCTTCACAAGACTGTCCGACAACGGAAGAGTGTCTTCAGTCAGAGGCTTCTTCAGTTTCGCTGCAACACTGACCGCTACTGGAGATCCTTCCTGCCAACAGCCATTGTAATATACAACAACTCTTTGATGACTTGATTATTATTATTATTCTGAGCTACTACAGCAATCAATTTCCCTCTGGGATTAATAAAGTATTTTTGAATTGAATAATCAGTCACTTTGACACATATTCACACTTGTTTCATACTGATAGCATTTTCTTTTGCAGTAGAGCATGGCACTGCCCCTGTCTTCCCCGTGTGGATACCCTTTTGAGGAGGAGGAGGAGGAATTACCTGTGTTTGAGTCTACGGTAGCAGAGAACGGCGGGCTGAGCAGACCACGTCTGCCTGAGATATCTGTCATTTCCCCTGGCCTGGACGGTCAGCCACCCCTCACAAGCCAGGTGAGATGGACGAACATACATTAATTCAATTCAGTTTATTTATATAGCGCCAAATCATTACAGTCGTCTCAAGGCACTTCCCAAAGTAATCATTCCAATACAGGTCAGTTCATTAAGCCAATCAGTAAAAAGTTTCCTTTATAAGGAACCAAGCAGATCACATCAAGTCACTGACTAGTGTCAGAGTCTTTACAGCAGTCCTCATGCTAAGCAAGCATGCAGCGACAGTGGGGAGGAAAACTCCCTTTTAACAGGAAGAAACCTCCAGACGATCCTGGCTCAGTATAAGCAGCCATCCGCCCTGACTCACTGGGGATCGAGAAGACAGAGCGCACACACACACACACACCATGTATACCAAGGCAAAAAGCAAAAAGAAGGCAGGAGCACTCAAAGTGACAAAAATGTGTCGAGTTTCTGACGAAGACACAAGCGGGTGTCAAAATTAGCCTTTTTTGTGACGTATTTAGTCACCGAGTGCTCCGGGCTTCTTTTTGCTTTTTTAACACATCATTGTTCTTCGCTGTGGAACATCAACTGGTTACTGTAATATGCACAGAGGATCTCAGAAGTAACATATATACCAAGTACTGTCTCTATGGCTACATTGTGATTTCTTAGTATATATTCTATTTAGTAAAATAAACTTTATTGTCTTTATCCTAGTGACTCTATAATTAACTCAACTGGTGAACTAGTAGTAGCACTTTGTATGTTAAAGAAAGTGAAATGTTATTATCGGGAGATGGAGAATGTTAAAGGGGTTATGTCGTAACAAAACCATTAAATGATGAAACAATAAATCTGTTAATAATTTTATGTTAAATCAGAATGTAGCAGCGAAACCCGGAGACCGTGACGACAGGAACTCAGAGAAGGTGAAGGTTTTTCTGCGTATTCGTCCACTCACTGATTCAGAAAGAGAGAAAGGAGAAGAGCAGGTGAGACGGTGAAGTTATCTTAATGTAACTATCAACTGAGTTTTTAGTTCTCTGCATATATTTGTTGCTGTTTGTGTAAGATTCACTCGTCTTTCAGGGTTGTGTGATGGTCCAAGATGAGGAGACTCTGCTGCTCAAAGCTCCACAGGAGTCTCAGAACATGAGGGCAGCAGAGAGAGGCGTCTCTCAGAGCATCCACAAGTTCAGCTTCTCCAAGGTAAAAAAGCCACAGCTTTACCGGATGCTTGGGAACATTTATTCCCTAATATGAACGTATGTTTAAGATGAATAACATCCTAGTATGTTTATTTACAATCAGTCCACAACAGTTGACCCAGATAGGTTTATTTATGTTTACATTTGTAATATTTTTACAGATTTTTGGTCCGGAGACGACTCAGCAGCAGTTTTACGAGGACACGATGAAGAAGATGGTAACCGATGTTCTTAAAGGAGAGAACAGACTCCTCTACACTTATGGTGTCACCAACTCTGGGAAGACTTACACCATCCAAGGTAGGAGGTGTGGTGTTTGTTGTCAGCTCCGTGATGTGGATGTTTCTACATGATGATCTGACATTTAATGATTTAACCTTAAACATCAACCTTGGACCTGCAGGCAGCGGTCGAGAGACGGGCCTCCTGCCCCGGGCTTTAGTGTCTCTGTTCAGGAAGCTGCAGGGGCGTCTCTATGGCGCCCTGGACCTGAAGCCAGTCATGTGTCAGGATGTGAGGCAGCTCAGCTCCAGTGAGATTAAGATGGAGGAAATACACAGAGACTCTCTTCTGAAAGAGGTAAACACAAAACATCCTTATAGTCCTGAGGAAGACTTTATTTATTTCATTTGCATAATCTTTACCTGTTTTTATGAGTTTAGAGTGAAGTTTGGCTTCTGGTCTGCAAATGAAAGTCCCCAGATGAAAACCGTCTGAATCCATGTTTCACAATGACTTGGCTTATTTTATCAACACTTAAAAGGAATGCATAAAATGCCAAATGGTTGCTCCGAAATACCACTCAGTTCTGCAGCTCTTGAGCTGCAGAAAGATGCAGCTTTAGACGACAGCTAGGTTGAAGGGAATGTTTCTGGAGAGCGGGACTGCAGCCTGTCCAACTCCGTCATCGGGACCGAGTTTTCAGCGGCAAACACAAAGTATTCAAAGCCCACGCGGAGGATTTTCTCGGGACTTGGGGAAACAACAACAGCGAAGAGGATTAACTTTTGCTGAATGCCGTTTTTAAACACTTCTCCCCAAAAGAATTCACTCGAGTGAAAGGTAACAAAGCTGGACTCGTGTTTCATTTGTGTTTTTACAGGATGGGAATCTTTCTTCTCGCCGCGCCGGAACCACGACAGTCTGGGACAGTGGCATCGGAGGACTCTCTACAACTAGCTTCACCACTCAGCCTGAAGGTGAGGCGTTAATCAGACTAAGAAAAGCATCAACCGTTCTGTTAGCCAAAGATTTCATTCCCAGCTCCCCGTCGGTCCCGTTTGCACTTGTATAAAAACATAACTAGAGTTTAAGTCTCAGCTGTGTAACTGATGTGTGTGTGTGTGTGTGTGTGTGTAGATGCTAACACCGTGTGTCTGGAGCCGGACAGTCTGTCCCTCAGTGGGGGGGTGGACCTGGAAGAAGGGGTTCAGTTTTCCATCTGGGTGTCCTTCTATGAGATCTACAACGAGTTCCTTTACGACCTGCTGGAAGCTTCGCCCTCCCAGCAACCCCGAAAGCGAGCGACGCTGCGTCTGAGTGACGACAAGCAGGGCAACCCCTACGTCAAAGGTAATTCAGACTCTTTGCTCCTCTAGTGCAACTGCTTTGGGGCTCTTCTTGGAGAATGGTTTCCATTGATTTCACTTTTATTTGGACACAATACTTGCTACTTTTATAATTTCCTTCTGCTACATCAGATCTGACCTGGATCCAAGTCCGCAGCGCCGAGGAAGCTTGGAGGATTCTGAAGGCTGGACGTCGTAGCCAGAGCTTCGCCAGCACCCACCTGAACCTAAACTCCAGCAGGAGGTGGGCAAACATTAAACTTTTGCTTTGGGAAAACATGTTTAGCAGAAAAGTTACAGATAATTGGCTCGTGATTGGAACTGGCCGGTATTCACGATGATCAGCTTAATGGGTGATTGGCAGATCTGAAGTAAAAAAAATGGCTTTATTATGTTTTGGTCCAGGATTACACCTTTGTGATGCAGCCATACAGACTTGGGAAGTTTCCTGGTGGGTGAACCCGCCATCACCGAGTGCTGAGTCGTGTTAACGATATTTCTAAAGTTGTTGATTTCAAACAGCTCTTTGAGACTAACCAGAATCAGAGTTAAGCTGCACAAAAATAGGAAATCGTTATCGGCCCTAGAAACCAGAATCGGTGCATCTCCGGTATTTAGTCGGACTTTTTGCGTTGCTCATTGTAAAATCATTTCTGATTTTAGCCACAGCGTCTTCTCAGTCCGTGTGCTGCATGTCCGCCCAGAGGCCGCTTCAGGTCAGGCCATGCACATCAGCGAGTAAGTTTACCCTTTATTACTGTAAACTTCACCTGTTTTACTGTAAAAAGTCCTGAAGCTAAGCTCCGTCTGCCCGGCAGACTGACTGTGTGTGATCTGGCCGGGTCTGAGCGCTGTAAGGAGCAGCGTAACGGTGAGCGGATGAAGGAGGCCAACAACATCAACACCTCCCTCCTGACACTGGGGCGCTGCATCGCTGCCTTAAGGCACAACCAGAACAAGTATGCTCCGAACCCGGATGGTTATGCAGTATAATAAAAAAATGCAGTTTCTAAAATCTCCTGGAACTTTTTTAACTCGTCTGCAGGTTGCGACCCCCTCAGGTGGTGCCCTTCAGGGACAGTAAACTGACCCGGGTTCTGCAGGGATTCTTCTGTGGCCGAGGGACCTCCTGCATGGTGGTCAACATTAATCCGTGTGCATCCATCTACGATGAGACCCTCCAGGCACTAAAGTTCTCTGCTATCGCTACCCAGGTAAAAACAAAACACTCCCACACGCCATTAACTTCTGAGTTCAGAGATGAGGCATGTTGTCATTTCAGCTCGTCCACGGCCCGTCCACAAAGACCAGAGTGGCCTACATCCTGTCGCTACTGTGCGAGCCGGCGGCTAACCGTGATGGAAGCACAGTGATGGAGGAAGAAGAGGAGGAAAGTGATGTTGAAGATGGAGATATCACGTTGTTGAATATGGAGGTGTGTTTGAGTTTGCAGACGCGGGATCTCGTAGTGCTTTGTGCACGTTTGGATAAATGCAAACATTCAAGATAAACATGAGTTCAAGGTGCATTTCCATCTACAGCGAGTTGTTCTAACACCCGGTTGTACGTTATTAAGACTCTGCTGCAGGTCATCGATGTGCTGAAGAGAGAAGTGCGCCGCCAGCGAGTGGAGAAGGAAGTCCTGGAGGCTAATGTGAGGGAGGAGGTGGTCTCGGAGGTGATGGTGGTCATGTCTGACATGCGGAAAGGATTCAAGTATGTGTGCTTGGTTTTGTTCTTGCTCTAATGTACGCAGAACCTGCCGTGGCATCATGTTTTAGATGCTTCTGAACTAAATAGTAAACACACAGCTGATCGTCAAGCGAGAAACAAGAGTGACCTGTTTGACATTAAGATGCTAGTCTGTCTTCTTGTCCTGAAGCGAGTCCTTGGAGGCTGAAAGGGCCATAATGGAGGAGAGATGTGAGGACAGGATAGCTAATCTGCAGAAACACCTGAAGATGTTCTACAGCCAGCAGCTTCAGGTGAGGGTTTGGACTTCTTTAAAGCTTTTGTAAGGTCTTCTCTCTAATCCTATCAAAGGTTTGAGGAGAACCTGCTTCCTGTGTTTCTGTAGGAGCGTGATGAAGAGATCAAGGAGTTATCCACTGCCCTTGAACAGGAAAAGAGGAAGCACGAGTCTGTGCCGTCCACGGCCTCTCCTGTGGACTCGGAAGGCCCTCGGCGCTCTCACCGCCTCATGTCTCAGGCCGAACCGAGGCTGCACGCCGAGCTCGATCAGTGTCGCGCTGAACTTGATCAGTGTCGCTCGCAGCTTTTCACAAAGACCCAAGGTCTGGCTGCATGATGCTTTGTGTTCTAGTGTTGGGATGCAGGTGTTAACAATCTCACTCTGCTCGCGTCTGCAGAGCTGACAAAGCTGAAGATGCAGCTAGAAGTTCCAGGTTCAGCTGGCGCCATCACCAGTGCTGCTGACCGCAAGCTGCAGGAGGGCCAGAGGGTCAGTACCATCTTAGGTCTTAACCCTACCCGTGACCCTCATCGCCTTCACGGACAACAAAAATGTCCTTTCCCTTCCAACAGAACCTGCAGAAGCTGCGTCTGGATTTGCAGAGGCTGGGAACCGATCTGCAATCTGGAGAACGAGCTTGTTGTCGTAACACCGGAGGGGAACGGCTGCGTCACACGCTAACGGCAGCAGACGAGACTCTGGCTAAGCAGGTACAACGTGTGAAAACCGAATAAGTTTGTTTCCATTTCTGTTCTGAAGCAGCGCTTTAGTCTCAACATGCAGAAAACCTGGTTAACTAGCCCGGTTCCCGCCTCTTCAGCTGTAGTTTTACTTTCATGCTGATTATAATGTCAGTTCTCATGTTGACCTATGCTCTCTCTCTCTCCCTCTGTCTGCTCTCCTAACACTCCTGCTGCACAGCCAGCTTTAAAACTACATTTAGGTTTCTAACGTCTTCACCAGGTGTTTGCTAAGCTAATCAAAGCATGTAGCATTTTTCCTCCCACTCTTTTCATCCTTCCACCCCCACGATCTCACCCTTCCTCCGCTGTGGTCTGGTCTAACCCTGTTCACTGACTCTTTCTCAGAACCAGATCCTGATGGAGCTCCAGAACAACCTGACTCTGGTCAAGGCAGACTTGAGGCGAAAAGCGGAGACTCTGGCGGGGTGTGCCCAGCTGCCCCCTACGAGCTTCGCCGCTCCCACCACACCTGGTTCCTGCAAAAAGAGAGGCGGCACAGCGACCACCCCAGCTGGAAGCGAAAACCACCCTCCACAGAAACGGCCTTTCTTCCAGTCTCTGTTCCCGCCTCGTAAATACAACACCCGCGTCGCCGAAGAAGCCTGCATGACCCCGTACACGCGGATCCTACGATCACGCCAGCCATCTCCTCCTCCCAGCCCTGTCCCGACCCCACGCTCTCTCAGGGGCAAATACTGAGCTCCTCAGTGAAAAGCCTTGCTGCTGCTTAACTCTATGGCATTGCTTTATATTTGAGACTATTTTTGCCGTGCAGTTTTTTATCCGTAATGCCAGTAACACGATCAACGCTTTAAGGCAGGAGTGTGAAAATCAGCCACCTGTCTGTGTTGCCTTCACTTGCATCAGCGATAAGTCAAACTAATTTGTGTGGTCACATTTAATCTGTTGCAGATTAAAGAAAGATTTGCATGTAACACAAACACAGCTACGGCGTCTATGGGCTGCTGCTGGAGATTAGTATGACTCCCTCTGTCTCTGGAAGCACTTTTATGTTTTATCCCAGTGATCCACTGCATGTCTGATTCTGTGGGGATTCTTTTGTTACTTCGGTTTGTTTTTCGGGACTAAATTAAACTTTTATTTCTTATTTGGGGGGGGGTGTGTCTGTGGAGTTTGACTGTAAAGAATTAGAAAGTGATTTGTAAATAATTTAGTCCTTTCTTTGTGCTGTCTGTCCTTTCCTTCATCTTTATTTCATTTGTATTAAAACATTTAAAGGGACAATGTAGTATTTTTTATTGTTAATTTCTGGAAGTATCCAAGATTTGAAAATGAATGAAATGACGCCCAGTTAAAATATTAGCGGCTTTGTAACGTATAACCATAAAAAAACGGTCTAAAATACATGGAAACGGGTCGAAGGCCCGATCTCAACACTTGCACTGCGCCCTGCAGCAAAGTGCACTTGGAGAACGTGCGCTGTAGAGTTCGAGTGTGTAGTACACAAGCGTGCAAATAATTGCAGAATTGAGACGGGGAGCAATGCATCAACTTCTGCACTTGAGAATCGGGACATCCTACGCACCCGCACCCCTGGCCGGGAACGCTCAATTCAAGGGTGCAAGAGGAAGTACTGGGATTGGGTCCAAGTCTCTGGGTGACGCAATATTATGGGTCATTCCCATCTGTACCGGGCCGGGTAGCGTAGGTTGTTTACATATCTGGGTGGCCTGGTATTTTTCCAGGCCAACCAAGGCTCATTCTCAGCCCTCTTCTCGAGGGGGTCTGCTTCAGGCCGACCAGGGCCAACACACCCACTGCTGACAGCAAATTCACACCTTCCATTAGAGTAAGCCTCTGATTGGTGTGTAGAATCAGCCCACATGGGCTTAAGACAAGGATGTGTGGAATCAAACGGGCCAGGCTAGGGCCGACCCGGTACAGATGGGAATGGCCCACTAGATGCCACATTTCCTTCTACGGGAGCCCATGAGGACAAAATGTATTGATTTGTAACAAATGGTTACAAAACTTTCACCATTAATAAAGATTGTTTTACACTTTTACCTCTTATTACCAGTGAAGAAAGCGAGTCTGATGTTATTTTGCTGAAGTTTGCACTCCCCGGGCCTTATTGACCCAAATGGGCATCCGTTGGTAAGGTCTTACTCCGACACAAAAATACTGCTTGCTTGCAACGATTTGGGTATCTACAGCCCCCTATCGGCAGAAAAAACACACACTGTCACTTTAAGAGTGCACGTTTGTTAATATGTTCAGTGTTGCCCTGTAGAATGACACCTCTTCTTAAAGAGCTTATTGGAACAAAAGTGGTGAAAGCTGCAACTTTTACAGACAAATACAATTTATTTCAGGTAAATCTTTTCCAGAAACATTTTCAGATGAAACCCAGCAGGCGCCCGTGTAGCGCGTGACAAAATGAAAGTGTCCGTGTTAGAAGTCGGAGAAAATCACGGTGTGAAGGAGATCAGGTTCAGAGGAGACACTCTCCTGACCGGTGTGTTGTTGTTAGAGAGTGGAGTGAACAGATCGGCTGATGGCGTCTCCACCTGATCTCGGACCTGTGAGATCTGCCTCAACAGAGCCTTTCCCTCTTCACGGGCCTGTGTAGACAGACGACACCCGTTAGAGCTCTGATCAGCTCCTACAACTGGAAGCTGAGGAACACTTACGTCGTTGTAGTCACAGCAACGCTGAGCGCAGATGGACGCCTCGTCATAAAGCTTGTTTTTGAAGTAGTACTGACCCAGGTAGCGTAGAGCTGTGCTCACCTCCGCGTGTTCAAGTTGCTCCTAAATGTGCAGAACGTCCAGTCAGATGTGTCAAATGCTAATTTCACATAAAACACCCAAAATAAACAAATCATCTCCAGAACTTGATTGAAAACCCAAGGTCCCGAATCCAGACCAGGACTGAGTTATTTTAATTTTCATTAAGAAGTTCTTACCCCACATGAGAAGATGTCCTGAATGTAAAGCATGTAACACTGGGCGGCATCATCCGCCTCGCTCAGCTGCTCGTGTAACCTGCGGAGGAAGATTTCACTTCAAATATCTACAAACAACCCGCCACCAGCTCCACAGGCACATTTCTGATCTCCAGCCAGACCGATGATGATGATGATGATGAACACTCACTTTGCTAGCTTGAGTAGAGCCATTTTTTCCACATCCCCCACAGAGTACGCCCTCCAGTAGCACTGAACAAAATACAATTTAAATCACCGTTTAAAGACTAAACTCTGATTTATTACTCTCGTTATAAGTCACCGACAGCTGGAAGACGTTTTACCTTCTTGGCTTCGACTTGCTGAGACAGTTTCTCGTAGCTTTCGCCCAAAGCGACCAACATGCGCGAGTCATTGGGTCTAAAAAATAAAAATACACTTCTTATGCTGCGCTGGGTCAATGCATATCTACTTTTGTGTTCCTTTAAATCAAAATAACATTTAAAGCCACGTTTTTAAATAAAAATATACTTAATAGGATAAAACAATCAGACAAAAATAAACTTTAAGTCAAGCTGCAAACCTGAGCTGGTGAGCCTTCCTGTAATAGTACAAACAGTAAAAAGGCATCTTGAGGATCTCGTACGTCTGACCCAGGCCATACCAGGCACGGTAGTCCCGCTTGTTCACTTCTATGGCATGCCTGAGGGGCAAAAACAGCAAAGTCCCGTTTGAATCACCCACACAGTCCAGTAAAAGCTGAACACCTCAGCGTGACCTCTGCTCTGACCTGTAGGCCTGAATGGCTGCTGAAGTGTTCTTCATCTCCATGTACTCGTGACCCATGAGGGTCCAGGCCCCGAGGCAGCGAGGGTTCAGCTTCAGGGCCCGCTGGAAGTACAGAGCTGCTTTCTCGTGTTGAGAACGTAAGCTGTAGTAGTTACCTGAAAAGGCCGATTCATTTAATTAAAAAGGTCGTTAAACAACTTAAAGCGGTGACTCTCAGTACAGAGAAGATCAGCTGACTAAGAGCATCACCAAAGCTCCGACATGTTTACGTCATTTATCATTCAAACGCGAGCAGCACGTCTAAAATAGAGATTTTTAATGAGGTTAGCGTGGTGCTCACCGATAACGCAGCACGTCTCCACTCTGTACTTGTCTATCTCTACCAGGTTGTGGGCCAGGTAGCTCAGCTCTGGTTTCATGCTCTGAGGAAAAACACAAAACACCTTAAAACAGAGAAGTTGACCGCTGCGCCTCACATTAACGAACCACAACTCACTTTGACATAAAGCAGGTTGGAGAAGGTGTCCATGTTGTCGATGCGATACGGATCCTGTTCCCTCAGCTCGTTGAACAGCGCCAAGGCTTGGTCAATGTCTTCCACACAAAAGAGACAGCCTTTAGATGTATTTGTTTTGTTTATTTCTAACGTTTATAAAGAACACACACCTCTGATGTTGTGGTAGGCAACAGCAATCTGTGAGATGATGTAGGTGCTCTTGGAAAAGCCGGCCTCGATGAGATTCTGGTATTTCTGCAATGCCTCTTTAATCATCTGCAGCTCGGTGTACATGTGGGCCACGAAGAAGTCTTTGATCCAGCAGTCTGGTAGAGATAGTGACTTCAGCTGGAGGAGGACCAGGAATAAACAACCGGGTTACGTTTGGAAATGTTGATTATTTCATTACTAATATGTTCTAAAATGCAACAAAACCTTTAAAATTTGAGTTTTAAATCAGTGTTTTAGGTGCACTGTAGACTTTGTTACGGTGGCCCAGAAGGTTCAACAAAACACAAAAGCTACAACAGAGGTGATGATTAAAGGCACACTAGGCAGTTTTGCTTGCTTTTAGCACCCCTAGTGTCCGTTATCAATTCTTTCTGGTTAAACCAAAAATGAAACCCATCTCCTCGCTTAATCGAACAGCTGAACGGTCTCCCCAGGCTTCCTTACGCCTACACAACACTGGAAGCAAAGGCGGCGTGGAACGCTTTACCCGCAACAACCACTGCACTCCAGTCTCAGCAGCGAAGCGGCTTCTCTGCCGAGCTCCTCTCTCGACTCGCGAGATCACAAGATCCCTCGAGACTTTAAAGATTACGGTTTGTTTATGCAATCCACTATTAAACCAAAAAGAAGCAAATCACGTTTGATGTCAAAGAAGATGCTCCTCACCACTGCCAGGATTAAAGCCATGACAAACACACCGCTGCACTTCTGAAACAATGCTGTGCGTAAATAAGCTGTTGGGTTACACGTAAGCCACATATATATATGTACCCTACCTCCCCACCGAGTGGACACTTATGTTGTGTAATGTCTGAAGTCTGTTGCATTTCTGTCTGAGGTGTTTTTGGCATAGCAAAGCTGCCCTCCTTGTGGAGGGTAACTCTGAAGTGCCTTTTTTCCCTCCACCTGACTCAATCCTCATGTAAACCCTCTGATCTCTGTTAAGGTAGCGCGACTCGGGTTGCGAATGACCACAGTCACCAATTCTTGTCATGTGTCTATGCCTATGTATGTATGTCTGATCTCAGAATTGTGTGTACTGAAACTCTAATTTCCCTCTGGGATTAATAAAGTGTCTTTGAATTTGAATTTATATGTATACATATACATGTATATAATATATATATATATATATATATATATATATATATATATATATATATATATATATATATATATATATATATATATATATATATATAAGCAATAGCATCGCTGCAGAACTTTTATTTTGAAATTTACCAGTGATTTTACACTGAAACAGTGAGTGATTTCCTGTCTAGCCCTATGTTAACTGCGGAAAGTGACACATCCCAGAAGCGGCTAGTGGCAAATATAGAACCTGATCCCGTCTTTAGCAGCGTGGCGTGCCGCCTCTGGGACATGTCTGAAAATGTCCGTGTTGCGGCTGGTTTGTTACACTCCAGAAACTATAATGGATTCTATTTGAAGCAGTGCCGTTCCGCGCTGCTTTTGCTTCCAATGTGCAGTAGGGGTTAGACTGCTGCATATTGGAAGCATCAGGATAAATAATAGCTGTGGCCAAACTGAACTAATGAACTTTGTTGCTGACTTTTGTATCTTCTTGAACTTTCTAGGCCATCATTATTAAGAACACAGTATGACTAGCTTCTTGTGTTTACGTGCAACCAAAATATTTATTACCATTTCAATATTTGTGACAAGGTTACTGAGCTCCAGCCATGCTCCCCAGTGAAGAGGAAGTGCATGAATCGCCTCAACGAACACGCCCACTGCCTCCTTCAGCAAATCAAGCTTCCGTAGGACCACCCCGTACCTGAGTTTTCACAAACACAGGAATGAGTAGCAAGCCTGTGTTTAATTTGACAAACTGTACAGTGTGTTTGATTTGGCTGAAGGAGCTCTTACAGATAGAGGGTGAAGCCGTCCAACTCTCCTGCAGAATGCTTCTTGCTGAGCTCCACTCTCAGCTCTCGCAAAGCTTCATTGCGGACCTGTCCCTTTTCCAGAGGACCTAAAACCACATCCCAACATACAAAAAGCTCAAACTACGCAGAATAAAATTTCTATGTTTAACTGAAAAAATCCTCACCTAAGCTGTCCACCGTTTCGTCATCCTTCTTTTTCTCTCCTGACTAAAACAAATAAAACAAGAACTTATTTCAAAATATTTCCCTTGCCTACAACCGTGAAGAATATGCAAGCTCATACCAGATAACGAGAATACATATAGAGAAAATACGCCTTCTGACTGCAGCAGCCCCTCAGAAAGTACGCAGCTCGGTCGTACTCTTTCAGGTCGAAGTACGATTTGGCCAGTGTAAGTGCGTCCAGGTCCTGTGCATCTTCCTGTATGAGAGCACAACAAGCGAAAGGGTCACTCCAGTAGCAGTACATAGTTTAGAACCATTTCATTTGACTGTGCTTGTCTTGTCTACACCAAAAGCAGCCTGTCATCATGGTCACATAACAATGGAGATGCTATACACTCTTAAAACAAATAAAACAAATAAGAGTAAAGCTTGCAGGTGTAAACAAAAGCTGAAAGAAGCAGCGAAACAAACCAACCGTGATTGTCTCACTTCATCAAAGTCAGAGCCGTGTCCAGGACTTTTAAAATGGGGTGGCCCATGTGGGGCACTTGTTTATTCATGGGTGGCACCAACGGTTATGCTTATTTATTTATTTACTTACACAAATCGTTTATTTATTTATTTACTTTCTAGTGAATTTTTGAGTTTCACATTGCACAATCACCATTTTTTCCCCTCTTCATCTTCTACTTTTGTGGTGGTTAGCAAGTCACTTCTTGTGTTATTACTGCCACCAACTGGAGTTGAGTGGGACTCTAAATATTATGTATGTGAATATGAAAAAATATTAAATAATATTAATACTACATACCTGGGCTAGAAAACAAGGTGAAAGGTGCATGCAACCACACACTATTTTGGAGTTTACAAACCCAAGCCTTTTGTCGACAATGTAAAGTCAATTTAAACTGTGACTTAGTGGGGTGGCACCTGGGATGGCCAATCAGATTCCAAGGGTGGCATGTGCTACCCCAAGCCACTCCCTGGACACGCCCCTGATCAAAGTGTTTCAATTCATTCTGAGGAGATCTACATGTTCCAGACAGCCAGGGCTGTCACTGTTTATAACGCATAAGACAACAAAGAGCTAGAATAACACATTTCTGTTAATGCAAGCAGCTTTTAAACCAGAGTAATGGTTGAATCATTCAGCAGTGACTGATGTTGGTAAGCTCATTTTCATACAGAACATCAAGCCTGAAGCAATTAGAGAAGAATAAAAGAATCAACAACGAGGAATCTGCCATGTACAGAGAACATAGAGACGAATAAATAAATCTAGTAAAGTGAGTCCCAGTTAACGAACCTCAGTGAAAGGGGCTGATGGAGGTAAATCATCCTTGGGAAGAGGCTCCAAAGCAAACGCCAATTCAGAAGCCCTGCAATGTGAAAAGTACATTATCAGCGGTTTACACACAAGTTAGAGTTTAACGTAAACTACGAGCGAGGTTTAAAACATTAACAGCTATATTAATATATGTTAATAAGCAAATAACCAACATGACATCTGGTTATCAGCAGTGCTTTTATAGCTACCAAACGTAAGCAGACGTTGTTCTTTATTTGTTTACTAAGATAAAAGAATAAAATACTCTGCGAACATTAATAACTTCTGGTCTCACCACTTGGCGCTGTGAAAAAGTCCTCTTTCTTTACAAAGCGAAATAACTGATATTAGCTGTTTTTTTATTTGTGTCAAGTCCCCGAACTCACTGCACAGGGCCGCCATTTTTATATTTTACAGAACAGGCCGGCGATTGGAGGAAGTCAGAGTGACGAAAGTTGAGTCAATTTCCTGTTTTTTATCCTTTCAAAATACAAGTCTGACTGTAGACAGGTTTTAATAATCACGGTCCCTGTCGCATCTTTTCCTGCGTTGCTACTTCAGTCAGCTGTACCTAACCCAGCCTGATTATAGAGGTTTGACCACATTTTTAAAATATAGTCTGTTAACATTTGTTTAAGTAATTAGACGTAAAATACAAATCAATCAATCAATTACTCAGGATACATGTTGTTGATAAGAATCAAGTAGATGTAGTTTACTGCCTATGTGTATTCACCTCTAAGTGTATGTGCTGTTGTAACAAGTGATTGTCCTTACAGTGGGACTAACCCTTACACTGGTGTCACAACCCATTTCAAACATCAGCACCGTTGCTTCTTGAGTAAAATTTCAAGTTAAAAAAAGTGACATTCTATCAATACATATGTTGAAAAGTATTCTACTTCTTTATTTTATTTAACCCTCTGGAGGCAGGTGTTGCAGATTTGCAACAGTTAAAACCTACCTACCAGGTTACTCCACATACGTATTTCATGAGCATTTTTTAACTCAGAAGTGCCCCTGAAGGACTTAGTTGTTCATCCTTTTATCAAAACTTATTTGAGCCTGAGAGGGTTAAGATGGTGAGACTAAATGCTTGTAAATGGCAAAAATGAACAAAAGTGTTGTACCAGCTTGTAGACACTAGAGGGCAGCAACTCACCATATTCCCTTATGTAAATGCTGATGGAAACCAGAGTATTGTTCTGTTTTCTGCCACCAGAGGGTGCAAAATCCCCCCTTTTTTCAAGGCAACAAAACATTGTGTTTTAAAAAAAGTTAGATGAAGGGTTTCTACTACATACTCTTGTAAAAGTTTTTTTTTAGACAAAGAACAAACATAAAATAAGAACTGCATTTCTTTTCTGTGACTGGTTACTTAACTTGTAAACATTTAATTTATTTACTTGCAATCTGATATTTGGTTTGATTGATGATCACATATGCTGTCTATAAGGCAATTATATGTATTATTTAAAAAGAAAGAAAGAAAACAATCTTTTATATAGCGCCTCTCAAGATTAAAATCACGAGGCGATTCACAAAAACAAAAATATGTAAAAAATAAGAAATTATTTTCAAAAATGATTAAAACCATGTTTAAAATGATAAAAATAATTGTGATTAAAATATACAGAAAGGGAGAGAGAAAATTAATAGGAAAGAGGGAAATTGGTGGATCCCGGAAAAGGCGGAATATGTAGAAAAAGCTGAATAATGAGAGGGTGGTGATAAAAATCACACCAAAACCAGCCTGAACAAGTGAGTTTTTGCTTTTAAAGGAAACCATTGAGTCCACTGATCTCAGGCTCAGGGGTAGAGAGTTCCAGAGTCTGGGGGCCACAGCAGCAAATGATCTGTCATTTAGGGCATCTGGATGGAGACACGATCACTCAGCCTTAGAAATTAGGGATTTTTTTCCAGCATTTGCAGGAACAAAATGTTATACAGACAGCTTTCATAAAGCTAAACAAGACAAAACTCATCAGCATGCTTATAGATTTATTTAAAATACAATAAACTACATAAAATAACTGCAGGTTTTAAACTAGTATTAACAGCAAAGTTAGTCTAAATAATAGTAAAGCCAGAATGACAACACTTATACAAACTACTTAACTAATAAAACTAAACAAGTCTATTTTAACTATCTGTGTTCAACCAATGAGCTAAAGCTATAGCTATTAGCAGCTAGCTACAAAACAGATTGTGTTTTTTAAAGCTCCATTAAGATAAAGAGGCTAAATAGCTTTTAAGACTAAACGTGTAGTACCCGCTTTCAGACACTAGAGGGAAGCAACTCCCCAGCTTTCATTATTTTCTAAATGCTGCTGGAATCCAGAGTGTTGTTCTGTTTTTTTTACTACGGAAGGGCGCAAACTCCCTATTCTTTTAAGCCAACAAAACAGTGTTTGAAAGAATTTATAGGAAGTCTTTCTACTAAGTACCTTCTTTTACTTTATAAATACAGTCCCTTCTTCTCCTTCTACTCCTCCATCATCTCCTTTTTAATATCAACATTCCCAAAAGGACAAAAATAAATATTACCATTTTCTAAAGGCTTCATTAAGATAAGAAGGCTAAAATATTTTCTTCTGTTTCTAAAATGCACAACAGTGTAGTATCAACCTTCAGACACTGGAGGGCAGCAAATTCTCCTGTCGATATTTTGTGAGAAATTCTGTTCCGCTGAAAATTTCTGTTTCCCCTAATAACTTTGGCAAATGAATATAAATATTTGAAAATCACATTGTCCACAGTGAGATGAGTAAAAGACCTAAATAAAAGATTACATCCTTTTACATGGTGTAAAAGCGTTATTTGTGGCTGATTGTGTAAAGTAAACGTAAGAGACAAGTTACAGATGTAATCAGCTGTTTAACAAGCATAAGTCCTGTGAATTTGAAAACATTTGTTCTTGATTTGTCAAAGTTCTTGAGAAAACTGAACATTTCAGGGAAAAATAAGATCTCACACAACACCTGTACTTTTGCATACTGGCCCACTTAAACCACTGCCCCCACCCACATCATAACAACCTCTGTGTAAAATTTAAAGAATTACAAAAATATACAAACACCTTTTTCTTGTGGAGGTGGTAAATTACACTTTGTAGCATTCCTCACTTCTGTTGTCCCGGTTTCACTGGTGGGAACAGGATAAGATCTTTGTCTCGCTGTCAGCTACATTATTGGAAGTGGGGTTTTCAGAAATCCACATTTAAATGATTCTTACTTTTCTTAAGGTTTAGCTGAATGGTTCCTGAAGCTAAAGTTTTCCTCAAATAGAAACCAGGTAGGAAGTCCTCTACCACGAGACCTTCTGGTACGGATGACAGATCTTTGCCAGATGCAAAAGGCCGTAGCTTGGAAGTGAGAGGAATTCTTCAACCACACGTTCCCTTTTAAATGTGTAAAGACAAAGTGAAAAGAATAATGCATCCTGGACCAGCATGTGCCCCTGAAACCAGCAGCCAAGCAGGTGCTCGCACTTAGAACTGCCCTTTTAGCCTGCTAACTTCCTCACACACACACACACACACACACACACACACACACACACACACACACACACACACACACACACACACACACACACACACACACACACACACACACACACACACACACACACACACACACACACACACACACACACACACACACACCGTGTTCCTGTCCCAGATGGGGAAATTCTAACGGAGTTTAAAAATGTTGGTTTGAATTTTCAATCTTTAACAAGAAAGAAAAACTTTAATTTTTTTGCATTTTTTTTATAAATCTTTTGATGCCATGAGGCTTATAAAGTAACGGGAATGTTTTTATGTTACCAATATTTTTAATGAAAAATACCAATGTTTTATTTTTTGTCATTGAAACACCCGCATATATTAAAAAAAACATTTTTTGTAGTTTTTAGCATTTTCCACTTGTGTCCGGTTTATTTTTCAGTCAGCTATCTGGGCCAAAACGTGCTCTACTGAAACCATTAGCTAATAAATCTGATAAGATTGAGTGACAGAGAAACTTCATGTCATCTGACAACGTGCTTGCTGTCAAATTAAACAAAAACACATTGTACCTAATCTGGCCAGCAGATGGCGCTGTCTAATCAATGTTTTGATGCAAAATACAAAAAGTAAAGATGTTTTATTTCAAAAGTCTTCCTAACATGATCTACCCGTGTGATCATAAATCTAGCCAACGATGTTCCATCTCCTTGTGTTCTGTGTCCTCCCTTTCCTTTGGAAAGAACAATTGTGGGAATGTGGCGTGTTAGAAATGCCATTCCTAATTGCAGGAATTGAAGAACTGAGCTGGGATTTATAATGAGGAATAAACCGCCTCTGCTCCCTGAAGACTCCTTAAAGGGACGAGAGGGAGACGGTTTAAAATATGTGGAGTAAAGTGAGACAGTCAGCCGCACAACACTGAGGTTCAGGTTGGAGGGTTTGATGTGACATTTGCAGAACATTACAGCAAAAAAGAAACCACGATTGATGGTACTATATTCGATTATTCACACACTAGACAGCAAAATATAATTTCCCTTCATTTTGATGTGAAGCAGTGTCTGCAGGGACCCCCCCCCCCCCCCCCACGAGTTTCCAACTCGGTGTCGGACATCATCTGTCAGAGGTGTCTCCTTATTTTCTCCACAGAGCAAAAAGCCACTTAAAGAGACTGACAAAGTAATCAAGCAGCGCTTTGCTTTACAAGGCCAAGAGCACGGCTCACTGAGCAGGTTGAAAAAGGTGCAGATGCAGGACAAGTATTCCATCTCCTCTCTTCACTCACACACACACACACACACACACACACACACACACACACACACACACACACACACACACACACACACACACACACACGCACACACACACACACACACACACACACACACACACACACACACACACACACACACACGCACGCACACACACACACACACACACACACACACACACACACACACACACACACACACACACACACACACACACACACACACACACACACACACACACACACACACACACACACACACACACAGACACACACACACGCACACACACATCTCTGTAGTACTTCACTACATCCCACACACACCACCTGAAGGAATGAGGCAGCAAAGTGCAAGATGGTGCAGGTGAGACAGAAAGCGGAGACATTTGTGTACCTGGGTAGGAAAATTCACGTTTACTTCGTTCGTAGGTCTGCACACACTTTCAGTTTTGAAATACTTCAATCAAAAAGAAGCGTATTTGTTTAATCTAACAGATGCATTTATTTAAACAACACACGTCATGTTATGGAACAAATTCCTCCAGCGATGAATAAAATGAAATATTTATCATTTTTATTTAAAAAAAAGTCGAAGCTTAATATGTTATCTGAAACAATCCTAAATTTCCCAACTTTCCTTTGTAAATCTTTTTGGCGGC